TTTGGAATAGTATTTTTTTGAAGAATGTGTGATTGAAAAAGAATGAAAAGTTTTCGATTTACGTGTAATATTATTTTATGAAAGATTGTGTGGTTGAAAATAAGAGAGAGAAGAAAAAAAAAGGAAGAGAATGGGTGCCAAACAAGGGCTAAATGTTGTAAAATTATTTTCCCAAAAAATTGCTAGGTATCATTGAATTTCTTTTCCCGGCTATTATTATTGAAAGCAGATATTCAATTGCTGCTTCTTGAGATTCTTTTATGGCCAGCATTTCTACTAAATGATACTTGAAATTGTTTAGAAATGGAATTTTCTTAGCATAAACATATCATTTAATGCTGATCATTTTTTTTGTGCATGTAATTTGTAGGAACCAATCCCTGTTACACAACTTGTCAGGGAGACTGCTGCTGTTATGCAGGAATTCACTCAGTCAGGGTAGCTATAATATATTGTCTAATTGTTCTCTTTCATTATAGTGAAGCAAATTGTTTGTTTCTGAAATTGATTGAGACTTCCTTGTACCAGTGATATGATCATGAGGCTGATCACCTTATGACAGTACTACTCTCTGGGACTTGATTTCCTATTTTTTTCTTTTTCCTTTTTTGCCCTTTGGCAATCGTTATGGTGGTTGCTAGTTAGATGAGCCCAACAACCCATTTAGTCCCATTCTGGTTATTTTTACAGATTCAATGCCTAATTCTTTAATTTCAACACGTGAAATTTATTTAGCTTGTAGGAGATTGCATAATGCAGCAAATAGAAGATTTGGTTGGCCTGATTAGGATTTATTAGCCATGCTTGCTAGTATTCTTCATGATATTTCCAATAACTCTGACATCATATCACATAGTGTTAACACATGATAAGAAATTGCTTGAAGTAAATTATCTTGAGGGATTTTTCTTCGTACTCCATTTTAAAGAGGTGAAGTGGCTGCTTGCCTTAGAAACTAGATTCCTGGAAGTGAGCTGAATAGTGAAAAGATGAATCGTCAACCTGATCTCAGGACTTAAACTAATCCTGGAGAGCAAATTTGGAGGGCTTTTAAATTTGTTTCTTATTTAACCTTTACTGGACTTTTGAAAGGGGTTAAATTCATCAATGACCACCAAATTTTATACTTGACCACTCAATTTGATTTTGTTCTATCATGGCCACCTAGTTTTATACTTGGTGTTACCATGGTCACCAATTTTTATTTTATTTTACTGTGGTCACCTAATTTCATATAACGTTTCACCGTAGCCATTCAACTTCTTTTCACTATTTTCATTAATTTTAAAAGGGGAAAAATAGTAACTTTGCATTATATATAAAAAATAAATTTAAAAAAAAATAAACTTTTTTTTTTATTTTAAAAATATTTTTTAAGAAAATAATTTTTTATTTTATTTTATTTTTCTAAGTAATGTTTTTTCAAATAAGTTTTTATTTTATTTCAAATATTTTTTTAAACAATATTTTATTTTTTAAGGAATGTTTTTTAAAATAAATTTTATTTTATTTTTCTAAGTAATTTTTTTTTTTAAAAAAGAAGTTTTTATTTTATTTTAGAAACCTTTTTTTAAATACCTTTTTATTTTATTTTTTTAAATTTATTTTTTATATATAATGTAAATTTACCGCTTTACCTCTTTTAAAATTAGTGAAAATGGTGAAAAGAAGTTGAATGGCCACGGTGAAATGTTATATGAAATTGGGTCACCATGATGAAATAAAATCAAAATGGGTGGTCATGGTGATACTAAATATAAAGTTGGGTGGCCAAAATCAAATTAAGTGGTCATGGTGACACTAGGAATAAAGTTGGGTGGCCATTAATAAATTTAATTTGAAAGGATTGTTCAATATATTATTTCCTGTTATTATATCAGGCACGGTTGTACTGCTTTTCTGATTCAATTCAATGGTTTTCTCTTTTAGTGGTGTAAGGCCATTTGGCGTCTCTCTCTTGGTTGCGGGGTTTGATGACAAGGGTCCACAATTATATCAGGTATGTCAAGTCATTTCTTTTTTGTCAGTATCCTTGTATTTCCTATTCCTTTTTCCTTACGTAAAATGAAGCAATTTTATTTCTAATTTCTTTATAAACTATTGCAGATCACGTGTTACCGCGTTTTGGCCCAAATTACTTCTTAAATCATGAGTGCCTCAAACAATTTTTTAAATACTGTGTTTCTTAATAAACTATTGCAGATATCTTGTTCTTCATTTTGGCACAAATTACTTCTCAAATTACCTTTAAATCGTTCTTTTATTTCATTCATGTTGAAACTTTAATGGACCAAAACCAAGCAACATTCGCCACTCTGAACTTTATCTACTGAAATCTAAATATGTGTCTTAGGATGAGCTAGGTTTTTTACACCTTTGTAGAACTTTGCATTGTTTTGTTAAACCTTTGTAGAACTTTGCATTGTTTTGTTGGCTGAATGTTAAGTTTGTAATCAAATCATTTTCTATTTTTTTCTGTAACTTTTATTTTTTAATTACATGTTCAGGTGGATCCATCTGGTTCATACTTCTCTTGGAAAGCATCAGCCATGGGGAAGAATGTGTCCAATGCGAAAACCTTTCTGGAAAAGAGGTGAATTGTTTTTCATTACTTCAGAATCCAGATTTGATTTGCTAGGGATTCAACCCTCATCCTTGTGGCAGTACAGATTTAACATTTGCTACAGACTAATGGTTTGGCTTTTTATTTTTTTCACCTTGAACTAGTCAATCACAGCCATCCAGCCTTTGGTTAACCTTCTTCTGTACGGAAGTTTGTTATTCTGAATTAACTTGAGTTGTTTAAGATAATATTCATATGTTTAAAGACTGCTTATTGAATCTGAGGATAGATCCCTCTGCTTGAAAGATAATAATGTCAATTTTTAATAAAACTGTCTACAAGAGTTGTCTATTTCTGTTTTGATGAACATGGTCTATGAATTGTTCAACCAATCTGTATACTATTATCTGACTCCAAAAGGGGGAAGTTTATAACAAATATTAGTATTACCTATGACCTCAAGACTTTTGCAAAGTTCAACCACCATTGATCTCTAGAACAGCTGTCATCTTCTTATCATGTTTTCGTTGATTGGGATTTGTTTGAATACTTGTTGCAGGTACACTGATGATATGGAGCTTGATGATGCTGTGCACACGGCAATATTGACACTGAAGGAGGGGTAAGAACCCAAATTTTCCAATCTTTGTTTTCGGAAGCTGTTTTCACCTTGAATTTTTTCGTTTTGACGGGGAAGGTGTGACAAGTGTTGGATGCATGCATCGACTTCCTGTCTTCTGTTTTCATTGAGAGAAACTGATTTTAGGCACTTAAAGCTTGCCTCATACTATTAATATAATAAGCCAAAAAGAGCTTTTGAATTATAGTCTAAGTTGATTTTTATTTGTTCTATTTTTATTTTGGATTTTCCAGTCTCGTTGGTTCTTCATGTGGTGCACAACCACCCATGTTCTTGATTATCACCCCCCCCCCCCCAAAAAAAAAAGGGCTTACGTATAGTAATTTTTGTAATTTTATTTAACTAATTAAATTGGTGATGATGGCCCTTTATTCCCACCGTCTCAGATTTGAAGGACAAATTTCTGGCAAAAACATTGAGATTGGCATAATCGGAAGTGACAAAGTATTCAGGCAAGTGTCTTCTTTACCGAGTTGTTGAACTTAAGTTCTAATTGATGGTTGTTGGATGATCGATAATGGTGGTTGCCTCTCCTGTTGCAGAGTTTTGACACCTGCCGAAATCGATGATTATTTGCAGGAAGTGGAATAGTGTTATCACCCTAGCTCAGGTTCTTTTCTCTTGTTAAAATCCAGTGGGCGAGTTTTGTATGACGATTTGAACTTGCTATTGTTAGATCTTGTTCTAAATGGTGTTACAGTTCTCTCTGACTGAAAGCAGCATTTTGTTTAATCTTTGTTCAGTACTTGTGGGAATTGTTTATTGGTATCATATTGTGGTTTCTCTCTTGGTCTTTTCCTTCCTTTTTACCATACATTTCAAGAACTTACACATGCCGCAACGATAGAATTTTTAGTTTTTCCCTGTACATTTAACCCATTCTTTAAAGAACATTTGGCTTTCAAGGAAATTATGAAGAAATACATTACAAGGATAATTAGTTAGGAGAGATTGGTCTTCTCTATTTATAGATTCAAACTTGAAAGGCTTAAACAGTATGATTTACAAATCAAAATATAAAGTAAAACACAAAGCAAATACATTACATGGATAAAGTAAAAGTAAAAGGAAGATGCAATTTTTATTTCATGCCCTGCTTTGTTTTTCTTCTTATTATGAAGTATAAGGAAGGTGCAATTTTTTATGTCATACCCTGCCTCTTTTCTATCTATTTCCTTTTCTCATTAGTGTCCCAAAGTTTTATTCAAATTACGCTTTAGAACTACTGTAATTTTACTTACAACTAAATAAAAATTCTCCATTTAATTATAAGAACCCAATTTAAGTATAGAATATTAACTTATTTTCAATCAACACTTAATACATGATTAAAGATTGTCAATATATATTTTTTACTAAAAACAAAAATTAATGGATTAGTCAACTGTCAGCAACTGATACTACATTATGCTATGATATGTATATGTAGAACAGTTCCATTATTATACAGTCATATATAGAAAACGTTCAATTTACACCAGCCAGCTCACGTAGCTCAGTTGCTTAGAGCAAGTTCCAAAATAATATTCAGAATAAAAAATTAACTTAAGATATTTTTCGTTGTTCAATAAATTTTTTTCACCCAATTTTTGAGCTTTCTACCAAAATAATAATCAGAATAAAAAAATTAACGTAAGATGGCAAAATTTTTTTATCAGTTTCGCATTGTTTCTAAATTGCGGACCAAATTAAAATGCCTCAAACTGGCAAGAGGTAACTATGAAAGGCCAAAGCAACGGAATTTGACATCCGCACCAAGGAATGAATTGCCCAGAGGAATTGAACAAGGACGGCTCATAAATGAATTTAAGTCAATTATTTATTTATTTCATGTCAAGGGAGTACATTTGGGTGCGAAAAATCCACCACATGTCAACTAAATCAAAGCCATCAATGAGCACTATCAACACACGAACGATTTTAATTTTACGAGCCACCGATGTCATTGCAAGTCATTCTGCTAAACGAGCCTCATTCAAGCTGTAAGCTATCATCAAAGCTCGTTGATGGCCTACGGGGCTCAGCATGCTACCAATAGTCACCACAAGAACACTTGCCATGGCTAAAATGGTGAAACCGATAGGGATCCCTTAATATGATTACCCTATGGACTATGTTGCTTACGAACTTGTAAACTGAATGGCAATCACCACAAACTCGAAGATTCTTGAAAATTCGGAGAGTTGAATCTTCTGGTGTAGAGATCAAACCATAAGCAAGAGCAAGCCTCTCACTGTGGTTCCACAAGTTATCCTCTCTTTGTTCTTCATCTGTGTCATGCAATGCATAGCTTGTATCCGGGACATAACCTGCTTCTTTGATCTTTTTCCTCAGCTCCATCAATTTAATATGTACCTGCTCGGATTCTGGGTGGGACTGATCTCCTACCCCGAAGGTACTTAATTTATTTCTTACATTGAGCCAACTGCAGGCAGGCTTCTTTTTCACATTATCGGATTCCATTTTGACCCTAATTCTCTGTGCATCTTGCCATCTTCCGGATGTTGCACAGACGTTTGAATAAAGGACATAAGCAGTCTCATCTGATGGGTTTGTTTTAAGAATATTTTCAGCAGCTTTCTTTCCCAGTTCCAAATGACCATGGGTTTTACATGCCGCCAATAAACTTCGCCAGACAAAGTCATTTGGTTCAACAGGCATTTCTTTGATAAATGTTCCAGCCTCAGCAAGTCTTCCAGATCGTCCAAGAAGATCAACTATGCAGACACAGTGCTCTATAGCAGCTGGGACTCCAAACTCGGGGGTCATTGAAGCAAAATATGCAAGACCTTCATCTACTAAACCCCCATGACTACATGCAGATAGAAGTGAGACGAAAGTGACACGGTCAGGTTTCACCCCCTGCTCTAGCATTTCATGAAAAATTTCCCTTGCCCTCTGAAAGTATCCATGTCTGGAGAAAGATGATAGTAATATGTTCCATGACAATCTTGATCGCCTTTTTGGTTCTGGAAGCATTTTTAGCAGATCATTCATTTCTCCACACTTCCCATACATGTCCATCGTGGCATTTTTCACATAGTGATAACCGTCAAATCCAAGTTTAATAGCCAAACTATGAAGGTGTTGGCCATCCTCCAAGATACCCAAATTTGCTGAAGCAGCAAGGCCTGCGGAAAGACTGAATTGATCGAAATTCACCTTAGTTCTCTGCATCTCAAGAAGAAGTTTTAAAGCCTCCTCCCATTGGCCATGCTGAGCATTTGCAGCAACCATGGCATTCCAAGTTACAGGTGTTTTATTAAGTAATCCATAAAACATAAGGTTACTAGAATTAAGATCACCACAATCGGCATACATTGTGATAAGGGAGTTCTTCACATATTCATCTGTATCAAATCCAGTCAGTATGATATGAGCATGCAAGGGCATTCCACACTTCAGTAGGTTGCCTGGATCCGAAAAAGATCCAAGAACATTAATCAGGGTAATGTAATTTGGAGATTCGCCCTTTTGTCGCAACAATTTAAAAGTTTCCAATGCCTTGCCACATTCCTGGTTCTCTGCATATCCACCAATCAATGCATTCCATGTAACCAATTCTTTCTCAGGCATCATCTGAAATACCTTTCTGGCTTCCTGCATCATGCCACACCTTCCATACATGGTAACTAGGGCATTTCCAACTACCAGATTCTGATGAAACCCAGATATGGTTACAAGTGAATGTATAATCCTGCCTTCAACAAGAAATTCAGAATTAGAGCAAGCAGCCAGTACACTTGCAAAGGTCACGAAGTTCATTATTTTCCCCATGTGGCGCAGTTCACTCAACACTTTCAAGGCATCTATACATTTCCCTTCCAAAACATAGCCAGTAATCATCGAATTCCATGAGATCAAATCCTTCTCTGCCATTCTGTGAAACAACTTTTCGGCATCTTCACATCTTCCGCTCTGAAAATACATAGTAAGAAGAGTGTTTGATATGCAGACATTAGAATCCAATCCCAATTTCACTACTAAACTGTGAATTCCTCTTCCCCATTTCAAGTAATCCAAAGAACCACAGACTACCAACACTGCTGAAAGTGTGGTTGCATTAATCTCTCCATGATCAAGACGCATCAAATGAAAGAATCTAAGTGACTCATTACAGAGCCAGTTATCGGCAAAAACGGTAATCACAGAGTTCCATGATATAATGTCACGTTCATCCATGTGATTAAATACATAACAGGCATTTTCCACGCTGCTGAAATTACCAAACATCGATATAATAGAATTTCCTACAGAAACATTACTCTCAATCCCTGATTTTATAACATGTCCAAGCAATTGATGACCCAAAAATTCATCATCAAGAGCCCCACAAGAACTAATAACTGTAGTAAATGTATTCTGATTACAAATAATACCTTCACATCTCATCCTTTGATATAATTTAACAACCTCATTGAAATCTCCAACATCGGAATAATCGACCATCAATGAAGTCCAAGAAACCACGTTTCTATGAGGCATCTCCTCAAAAACTGTTCTAGCACTAGAAATAAGCCCATACATACCGTAAAAATGCAAAAGAGAAGTACCCACAAAAACATCATATAACAAACCGTTCTTGAACAGCAAACCATGGATCTGAAGTCCTTCAAGAACCATGCTTTCTGACCGACTAAATGCAGTCAATAAGCTAGCAGTAACATACCCATTTAACTCAATTCCTCGACCCCACATATATATAAACAATCGAGTAGCATCTACAAACAACCCCATATTGACATACCCAGAAATCATGTTATTCCAAGAAGAGTCATTTCTCTCGAGCATTTCATCAAACACATTCTTAGCAGCATCAATATCCCCAAACTTGAAGTACATATTTATCAACGTGTTGGTGTGAAATATGCTTAAATAAGTACCAAGCTTTACGCACACTGCATGCAGTGCTCTTCCAACAACTTCTTTGGTAATCTGTGAAAAGCCCTTTTGCAGAAACCCAAAAATTTCCGGGCCTGGGTGGGTTGCAATGCATTGAATTGTATTCTTTACGGGTTCTTTTCTGCATTGGGGAAGTGAGATATTTGATAAAGCAGAGGTTGAGTATCTAAATGGGGATTCTAATCTGAAAGTTGAAAGCTTTTTCTTGCAGTAGGCAGCCAGGTTGTTTGCTTCGTTCTTTAGTAACGAAAATAATAAGAAAATCCAAAAAATTGGAGAGAGAGAAATAGTATAAAAGATTGATGCCTTGGCTAATAGGCACAATACCAGCCGACCTTTTTCTCCATTGTACAACACTTTTTATCATAGTTATTAGACCCGACTCGGACATCGATCCGATCAAGGTATCGGGTCACTAGGTTACTGGTTGGACCGGTGAAACGGTGATCGGATCGGTGGGTCATTATTTAAAAATAATTTAATAATCTTTAAAGTATAATTTTTTATTTTTTTGTTTGAGACAAAATCAAAGTTTTCAAGTTCTTTACCACTAATTTTTCTATGCATTTAAATTAATAATTTTTTGAACTCATTTATTAGTGATAATGGTTAAATTTTGATTTTATAATTTTTAATTTTATATTAAAAAATATATTTTTCCCTTTTTGTGATTTACAAATTATTTATTAGTTATTGCAAAAATTTTGTGCATTATCTATTCAATTTATCTTAGTTACAATTAATTTTTTTAAACAAAATAAGTATATAAAATAATTATTTGCTTTAAAAAAGATTCTAAAAGTAGCAAATTATTCATAGGTTAGATATAATTTATTAAACAAAAGATGATAAAATGTTGCTTGCACTAGTGGTAAGGTTGTGTTCTACTTACTTGAAAGTCAAGGGTTCAAATCTTTGGTACCTACAATTTCAATGAAAAAGAGTTTCGAAATTTAGTTTAAAAATCAACTAGGTCAAATCAGCCCAAAAATATTCAAAAACCGCCCATTGGCCCGGTCAAATCCGAATTTTGACCAGGCCACTTGCAACTATTTAAAATCAGCTGGCTCGACCCGATCAAGGGCTTGGGTCACCGGGCCGATCGTCCGGGCCGGACCGATTTTAATAACTATGCTTTTTATCTATTTATTTTGGTACAAAACCTCCTCGAAACACCCGGGCCCTTGTCCGGGCCGGGCCGGTTTTAATAACTATGCTTTTTATCCATTTATTTTGGTACAAAACCTCCTTGAAAGGTCCAAATCTTGCGAGATACTTTCATCGTCCAATTTTACTCTCTCTCTCTCACTTTTTTTTTTTTTTTTTTTGAAGTTTAGACTTTAAATTCACTCAAAAGGACTAAAATTAAGTTGCTATTATTATTATTATTATTTATTTATTTTTCCCCAAATGGTAACACCATCTTTCCTCTCATTCTGAATGTGTCAAGATGAATAAATGGATAACATACAAAGTAGGAAAAAATGTTAAGTATGTTCAGCAGTAACCGAAGATTGCAATGAAGCATCGTCTGTGCAGATGTGGAACAGAAATTTAGTAGAAGATTTCATGGATACAAATTAAATCAAAGAGAAGGTTCTTGACTTGTACACAACGTTTGATAATTGAAATCTAATGCTCATTTGTTTTGTTTTTTTTTTTTTTTTTTTGAATTTTGATTCATTTCTCTTTTTATATTTTTTAAAGAAAAATGGAGGTTGTGGGTTCTCTCATGGTAAGAGATGCCTACGACTCGTAGATCTGTGAATATAATCCTAATGTTGGACATCCTTAATTACCTGCAACAGCTGACAAGATATGGGTTCTGTCGCCAGCCCACACCACCCATGGGCATACGACACCCATGCAAAGACGCCAACCCCCATGGGCGCTCTACGCCCATATCGGGACATCGACCCCCTAGGCGTTCTACGCCCATGCTAGACATCGACCCCCTAAGACATCGACCCCCCATGTCAGACATCAACCCCCTAGGCATTCTACGCCCATGCCTGGTTGGCCTTCAACCAGCCCCGTCGTGGGTCCCCCTCAAAGTTGGTCGATCCCCCCATGATTCCGATGGTATGACTCGTTCGTCCGAAATTTTAGCATTCCAACCGTTATCCCCAAAAAGACACATTGGTTCAACGAAGTTTTCGAACTTAAATTTAGAAATTGGGCGAGATCCGACGGGCGAGATTGTTGTCTTTGAAATTCCAAGGTGTTATAGTCTTTACGATTCTCCACTCAAGTTAGAGAAGTGCCTCAACAGTTCTATTGAATCGAAGATTACATTTATAGAGCCCCTAGGCCTAAGGACTCACTCCCAGTCAGATAAACCCCAATGCATGGAGAAAAGCGCTGTACTTTCTATGTCTTAGTAAGAAAATTCCATTCTCTATAGACCTTTTCAAGTGCATTTTTGAAATGCATGAACTAGTCCAATATAATGCCTTTGTCTACCTTACTACTAGGGTTCCTTTGCGCTTCCTAAATTTAGGAATTCCAACAGCGGGTGAAAATTCCGGTTCTTCTTTGCTTGACTGTCGGTGGGTCAATTTCCTTTTAATACTAATTGGAGACATCTTCAAATCCGTCTTTTCAATAGTCAAGTAGAGGTTACTTCTCTCTTAAAAGCTCAAATCCAACATGTGACCAATACACCTCTCCTTGCACCCGACCTAGGGTCAGTTTTGACCATGAGGAACATGTTGATCATGGGAATCTGTCCCTACAGGTAGGTTCTCTTTCCTTACTTTCTCTTTTATTCTCGCATATGTTTTTTACTTGCTATATATTTCTTTTGAGTTAACAAATTTCATTGCATGTTTGTAGGCATGGATTTCGACTTGGACGAGGTGTTGAAAAGCCTACCTGTGCCTGGGAGCTATGAGGGCAGGGTTCCTCCAATTTTTAGTGGACCCAGGAATGTGAAGAGTCACTTAGGTGCCTGAAGCAGTCATTACAAGAGCCCCCGATCTTGACCAGTCCATACCCCTGGGACGTGTTGTGTCTCTACTTGGCAGTCTCACCACGGGCAGTCAGCGCGGTGCTGGTGAAAGAATTCTCAAAGGTGCAAAAATTGGTCTACTATGTGAGCCAAGAATTGAAGGGTGCAGAGGTAAGATACAGCCTGGCTGAACAGCTAGTGTTTGCATTAATTGTCGCGGTCAGAAAGCTGAGACCATACTTTCAATCTCACACGGTGCAAGTAATGACCGACCAACCTATCAAGCATATCCTACATCGACTAGAAACCTCTGGGAGGTTGTTGAAATGGGCAATCGAGTTAAGTGAGTTTGATATTGAGTTTAGGCCAAGGACGGCTATTAAGGCGCAAGCTCTAACAGACTTCATCGCCGAGCTTACCATTCTGCCCGAGCACCTGCCAGGGGAACAGGCAGATTGGAAAATTTTTGTGGACGAATCTTCGAATGATGAGGGATTCGGGGTGGGGATCATAATGACAGGGCCAAATGGTGAAGAATTGGAATACTCACTGCGTTTCGAATTCCCAGCCACAAATAACGATGCCGAGTACGAGGCGGTGATCACTGGTTTAGGACTGGCAGCCAGCCTTGGGGTAACTTCAGTGCAAATTTGCAGTACCTTCCATTTCATCCCTTTGTCTACTAGGTTGTGGCCTTGCATATTGGGCTTGTTGAGTCGAACCGCCGCCAAGCGTAGAATTTGAAAGCTCTCTCGGAAGACAAGAAAAAGGAGGTTCATCATCTTAGGAAGAAAAATTCCTCCTTGAGGAAGTTCGTCGAGACCTTGGAGGCTCGAGCTCACGAGCAAGAGACTAAAATTGATAATTTGAGATCTGTTTTGGCCTGAGCACCGAAGTAGGCGGTGGGGCGATACAAGGCCTCCGTAGAGTACACTGAGGACTTGGAAGCATCTATAGAGTAGTGTAAGTCATCGTAGGACTTTGCTAAGGTCCTTCATTCATACGGGGGAAAGGCGATGGCTACGTCCATCAAGTTGGCGAAGGAGCGGATATCCGTCGAGCACCCTTCTATTGATCCGTCGAGTTTCGATCGATTTTTAGTGCAGGGCAAAGGTCGGGATCGCGGAGTCCCTCAGTCTCAGACCTTCGGACATATATCACGGGGTGCGAGTGAAGGGACCTCTCACTTGATTTGAGTCATTTTTCATCTGAAAATCTCTTAGTTGTTTCCACAACCGCTCGTTTTTGTTAGTTTTTTGCTTCCTACCGGTCCGGGGTGTGGACTGAAAATCATTTCTTATTTTGCATTTGGTTGGTTTTTCGTTGAATGCTATGGTCTTACTGGTTCGGGATGTGGACGAGAAGTTATATTTCATTTTGTGTATGGAAACCTCCTTATTGAACGTTGTTATTGTTCAACTCTTTTTTGTATTTCAACTATTAGTTTTTACCCGCTTGTTCGGGGTTATGTTGATCCGTCGAGTGCGTGGTCTAGCAGTTTAGGGCCTTGACTAAATTTTTGGTTTCCATGGCTCTCCGCCTAGCCCCTAGGGCTATGTCGACCGTCGAGCGCGTGGTCTAGCGATTTAGGGCCTTGACCAAATTTTTGATTTTTATGGCTCTCCGTCTAGCCCCTTGGGCTATGTCGACCGTCGAGTGCATGATCTAGCGGTTAAGGGCCTTGACCAAATTTTTGATTTTTATGGCTCTCCACCTAGCCCCTTGGGCTATGTCGATCATCGAGTGCGTGGTCTAACGATTAAGGGCCTTAACCAAATTTTTGGTTTTATGGCTCTCCGCCGAGCCCCTTGGGCTATGTCGACCGTCAAGTGCGTGGTCTAGCGGTTAAGGGCCTTGACCAAATTTTTAGTTTTTTGGCTCTCCGTTTAGCCGCGCGGGCTATGTCGACTGTCGAGTGCGTGGTCTAGAGTTTAAGGATTTTGACCAAATTTTTGATTTTTATGGCTCTCCGCCTAGCCGCATGGGCTATTTCGACCGTATGTCTTCACGGGATGAGCATGAAGATTCAAGATTGCCTGTTAGCATAAAAAATACTTGGGTTCGTGAGCTCAGTAGGTGCACCGAGACATCCCAGCTAGGCTGGCCCTTCCGTAGCGCCCTTATCATCCGTAACTGCCAAGGTCTTTCATTGAATACAATAAGCTATTACACCTAAGGGCGCCTTCGTGAGGCATTACATGGAGAGAATGAACAATGCAACCTATTCTACTGTATTTACAAAAGAAACAACCTATCTTTCTAATTCATGGGTCTACTGATAGTACTTTTTGAGATGTTCCGCATTCCATGGCCTTCCCAATGGCTTCCCTTTCATATCTTTCAGACTATAGGCTCATTTTCCGAGGCTGCAGATTATTT